GCACCTTAGTCCCCTGACCCCAGTGCTTGTTCACTGCTGTCTTGTAGCCCAACCCTTTCATTTTACAATTGGGGAAACTGAGGCCCAGAGAGGTGAAATGCTTTGCCCAACATGGCGCAGGTAATGGCAGATCCAAGATTCCAAGGTAGGGCCCTTGATCGCAAACCCAGCATTCTTTCCCCTTCATCATGCATGGCACATACCAGAAATGAGGTTTCTTAGTCACTTACCTTTGAGTCAGCAAAGACATATTCTTTCCGCAAGGTTTTCTCCTTTTCTGTTTCCACGATGATGACGAGCTTGTTATGAAACTTCTGGGACTTGATAAGCTGTAAGACTTAAGAGAAAACAAAGCTTCACCACAAGGGCCAGTCTAACCTGGAGGCAGGATGTGTTCATTACAGGAGCAGTGAAGAAGAAAAGTCCTCTGGTCCTAAATTCTCCTCTTTCCCCCACCCCCACCCTGGCAAGTTGGTGAAAAACCTATTTTTAGAGAAGGGCTCCTTGGGACCAGGTTTCACGCCTTGCTGGAATGCAGGTGCCACAGGGAAAGGGGAGCAAGGGTAGTCATTTCTATCTCAGTATGAGTGAGTTTGTCAGTTACGTTACTGAGAGCCAGGCCCCTGCAGTGAGGAATTCTGGGTATGTAGAAGGGAGCATCCCTCCTTTGGATAACAATGAACATGAGGGCAGGGTAAACGTTCAATCATTCAGTTGTGTTTGACTCTATGTGACCCCATGGAAGTCCATGGGGTTTTCTTGGCAAAGATACTGGAGTGGTTTCCCATTTCCTTCTCCCATGTGTCCCCATTTTACAGATGAGGAAGTGAGGCAAGTAGGGGTTAAGTGACTTGCCCAGGGTCACATAGTTACTAAGTGTCTGAGGCCAGATTTCAACTCAGATATTCCTGACTCCTGCCTAGGTGCTCTGTCCACCGCACCACCCAGCCGCCCCTAAATACGTGGTACCTGGATGCAATGGAATAAAAAAATGAAGGATTGAGAGAAACTTTAGAAGACGTTTTATGAACTGATGAGGAATGAAGCAAGCAGACCCAGGAAAATGATTCACATGATGAGCGATAACATGAGGGAAAGCAACATTGAAAGACCACAGAACTCTGATTAAGGCAAAGAGCAATTGTGAATTCAGGGATTCCTCCTGCCTCTTGGCAGAGAGGTGACGGACTGTGAGGCAGTAGACAGACCGCTGGACTGCTTTGAGGCAGACTCAAAGACCTGGGTTCAAATCCTGCGTCAGATATTTAGTAGCTGTGTGGCCTTTGGCGAAGCACTTAACCTCTGTTTGCCTCAGTTTCCCAGCTGTAATGTAAGGGGTGATGACTTCCAACTCATAGGACCATAGACTTAGAAATGCAAGGGACCTTAGAGGACACCAAGTCCAGTCCCTTCAATGTTCAAATGAAGCGACCGAGGCACAGAGAAGTTAAGTGACTGGCTCAGGGTCACACAGCTGCGGGGCAGAATTTGAACTCAGGTCTTCCTGACTCCAAGACCACTGCTCTATTTATTGCCCTAGGCCACTTCCTATTCCAAGTTCTAATTTCCCATAATCCTTGTTTGCACCCTTCCCACTCAGTAGAAGAAGAGAGGGGGCTGGCTCTCTCCTCACTTTCCAGCACAACATCTGGACCGTCAAACCACCACCCACTCCCTGCTTTTCATAACTTGTACTCAGCCCTTCCCATCTGTACCTCCTCTCTGCCATCATCGCTGCTGCTGTGGTCTACTACCAGCCAGGGCTCATTTCTGCCTTTCCAGATGATTTCAGTACTTGACTCACCTGCTTCCTCCATCCCTGTCCCTCCCTGGGTTGCCTCAACATCCATGCTGACCATCCTTGGCCCCCCTAGTCAGACCCACTGACTTCCCGGTTTTGCACCAGGCTGGATACCCCCAACCTCATCACATCTTCTAGCTCAGCCTCCTTCCTGGTGCTCCTCTCTGCTCTTTCACATGTACTCACCTTGTTCAAGTTCCAACCCACCAGCTACTCTGTGCCACTCCCTTCACCTTCCTCAGTGAAGCAGCCAAGTGGTCCAGTGGATGGAGCCCTGGACTCAGAGGCAAGAAGACCTGAGATTGAATCCTGACCCAGAGACTGGCTGAATGACCCTGGGCAAATCATTTCATCTCTTTCAGCTTCAGGTGTTTTTTTTTTTTTTAATCTGTAAAATGGGGCTAATAATGGCACCCATCTCCCAGGGTTTTGGGGAGGCTCAAATGAGATAACTATAGACGTCTTTGCAAACCTCAAAATGCTGTGTTGGTGTAAGCTTTATATCCTCCAACCTGGATGAGGAATGGAGACAAAGCCACGCAAACCCGGCCAGCCAAATTCAGCTTGCTCCTGGCCACTTCCCAGGAATCATCTCCCATACGCTAGCCTGCTCTCCCTTAGGAGCAGGTAGGGGGCTGGAAAGTGGGGATTTGGAGTCAGGAAGACCTAGCTTCAAGCTTTGCCCCTTCCACATATGGGCTGCGTGACTCTGGGCAAGTCATTTAACCTCATAGTGCCCTAGGCAACTCTCTAATGTTCTAAGTTATGGAGGAGTTGTTCTGTATCCATGGGATGATTTTCTACACCAGGGACTTCTCCCCACCAATGGAATCACAGATCTGGACCAAAAAAAGTCCAGTCACCAAGGCTCAGAATTTTCATGTCGCCTTTGACCTATCCTTCTTCACCCCTTTCTCCCAATGCGGTAGAAGTTGGTCATTACATCCTTTATCTTTCAAAAATATCTCTTTTAACCATTTGTTTCTCTACTTTCCTATGCTGTTGCCTTAATCCAAGGCCTCATTCTCTTCTGCCTGCTCGTGGAACAAGCTTCTACCTTGGCCTTCCTGACTCAATGCTTTCTCTTCAATCAAACCAATAAACCCCTGCCAGGCTAATATTCCTAAAACCCACTCAGCAAATCCTGTCATCTGCATGTCACAGGTAGCCTTTGAGGTCAAAACCCACAGACACCTTCTTTCCTGCTTGATGATATCTGAACTTAGATTAGAGGCATTCCAGCTTCTCCAGAATCCTGTTTTATCCTACCTACTGAGCCCAGCCCCTCTTGTTTCTCAGATTGCTCCATCTCTGTTGCAAGAAAACTGATTGCTTCCCTCTTCTTCAAACACTTGATGATCATTGTTGCTGCCTTCTCTCATGTTGTCCCCACATTCATCTGGAATTAAAGGGATCCAGGGATTCTAAGAGGTGATGATGGGTAATGAAAGCATTCCAGGCATGGGAGGAGGGGTGCAGCTTGTACAAAAGCAGGGAGGTGGGAAATGAACGGGACAGCAGGTCAGCCAGTTTGGCTGCAACGTGAGCACTTGAGGAGTGATGGGAGATAAGTCAGATGGCCTGAAAATGCCTCAAATGCCATTTCTGTGTTTTAGATACATCCTTCTACCTCTCCAGCTCATCTGATATGGTCTCAGCTGTTGTTCTCCACATGTCAGCAACACTTAATAATTATTTGCTGAATGAGTGAATCTGTGAAGATTCTTTTTTTCTTCCAAACTTGTGCCTACCCATTCCTCATCTCAGATTAATTCGGGCAGGTTCTTTCCTTCTTCTCCAATATAACAAGATTTCTCAAATATAATAATAATAACAATAACAACAACAGCACTTTATAATTACTTTATCATTTGATCCTCACAAAAACCCTGGGAGCTTGGTGCCATAATTATCCGTGTTTTATAGATGAGGAAACTGAGTGTATGTGACCTGCCCAGGGTCACACAGCTAGAAAGTGTCTGAGACTGGATTTGAATTCATAGTTTTCTGACACCAGGCCTGGTGCTCTATCCACTGCACCACCCAGATGTCCCCCCAAAAAAATCCTCTTTGAAACTTTTTGTAGCTTCACCCAGTAATAAAAATTATGACGCCCACATCCCAAAGAGATCAGAGAAAGAGGAAAAGAGACAATATGTACAAAAATATTTCTGGCAGTTCTTTTCATAGGAGCAAAAAGTGTTCTCCCAGCCTCCATTCTCCCCCTACTCCAGTCCATCCTTCCATTTGACCCAGGGGTCCAACTGAGCTCACTACAATGTGGGTCTGACCAGGTTCTTCTCCATCCCCTCCATTCAATCCATTCCAGTGGCTCCCATGACCTCCAGGATAAAATCCAAACCCTCTATTCTGCTTTCTACCCTTTCATAACCTGGTCCTTTCCAGCCTCCTTCTACCCTCCTCTCTCCCACTTACTCTGTGCTCCAGTGGCCCTGGCCTTCTCACTGTTCCTTCCCATGACACCATTTCCCACCTCTGGGCATTTCCACCGGCTGTACCTCCCGCCTGGTACTCTCTCCCTCCTCAGCTCTGCCTCCTGGATTTCCTGGCTCCCTTCAAGTCTAAGCTAAAGCCTTGCCTTCAACAAGAAGCCTTTCCCAGTCCTTAATCCCAGTACTTTCTCTCTGAGATCACCTCCAATTTACTCTGTATATATTGTGTTTGTACAGAGTTATTGGCATGGTGTTTCCCCACTAGACTGTGAGCTCCTTAAGAGCGTGGGACTGGTTTTTGCCTTTCATTGTATCCCCAGTGCTTAGCACAGTGCCTAGCACACAGCAGGTGCTTAATAAATGCTTGTTGATTGACTATAATTTCATTAGCATGGCCCCTCTCTCCACCTATATAATCATAACTCTTCTGTGAAAGCAGGTGGTTTTAAAGGGGTTGTTGAGGCTAAAAACCTTCAGTCTGAGACCAGCCTGGCGATGCATCCCTCCCGATATAGTTGGACTGGCTCTTGCACCATAGACAGTAGTCCATTACTAGACCCAAACCCAAGGCTTTTCCAACTTCATAGGACCTGCCAAAGCTAAGCACAATCTCCAAAAACCAGATTCCCCCTCACACCAAGCTGAAGTATTGAAGGACAACTTTAGAAGAAGTGCGGCATATGGGACCCATAGAAAACTAAGAATTATGCATAACGCAGTTAGTGCTATGACTGGTTAAATTAGATGCTCCAGGAGAGCAGAGGGAAGGAGAGGAAGAGGGAAGGAGGAAAGGAGGAACGGAGAGAGGGTTCACTTTTGACTGGAACGAGCTTGGTAGAGATGCTAGAGAAGGGACACCTGAGTTGAGCCTTTAAGATCAGACAGGATGCCAACAGATTGAGAAGGTGTCACCGTGGAGGTGCCAAAAAATCCATCACAGAACAAGGCTCAGTGGCCAAACAGGACCTCATCTGCTCTTCACAGAGCCACAGTAGATACCACCTCTTGGTGGCAGAGTAAGTGGGTGGATACGATTGCAAATCAAGACTTTCTTACTTTTCTTATGGCTATAGAATTTGTCCTCGGGGCCATCCTTGGATTTCTTGATAATCAGTTTCCCGGATTCAACGTCAACTTTAAGCTGCATTTTTTGTGGAATTCCTAAGGATTCTGCTTTTACCTATGGAAAACAGGAAAGAGGATTTTTCATCATTTTCATTATTTATTTCCATCATGGGATTTAGGCCTGGAGGGGACTTTAGAGATTCTTCCATAATTCCTTCATTAAAATTTAAAAAAAAATTTTTTTGTAGTTCAGAACTTGACAGGTACCAATGAATAGGAGCAATTCTATATTCAAAGAAGAACAGAAAAAGAGGATTGTGTATGAAACCATGACCACACACACATACACACACACAAAATCTTATTTTAAAAAGATATATAATCTAGATGTTAATTTCAAATCGGGTCTATTTGTTCATCCCTCCTGCTCTTCCTTCAGCTCTTTTCTGAGTGTTCCAATCCCCTGATTTTAAAGGTAAGGAAAGGGAATCTCAGAGATGTATCCATCATTAAGGTAGGTAGCAGCATCGGGATCTGAGCCTAGGGTTTGTTGCTTCATATTACAATCATATCATCCATAAGGACCATTTTGCCAAAATTAATGGTCAGCTATTTCTTTTTAAAAGAGGTATAGCTGACGTTTTATATGATGAAAGGTATACGCAAATAGGCTTTATTTAATATTATTAATTGGTCAAGGGAAAACACGACCTTAAGAAAAACAATTGGATGGGGCAGTTAATTTACAAATATTTCTAATTGACAACATGCTGAACAATGTTATAGCTGACTGTTAACACTAACATGAGATTTGGTTACCCTGTAGTAACACTACGCTAATAATTAGTGAAATGACACTGGTTTTGGCAACGCCATGTAGGTTATGCCCACGCTTGTTATCCATTGTCTAGATTATCTCAGCTCCATTATCTGAAGTGGTGGAAATGTCACTGGGACTGGAGTTAGAAGACCTGGGCTCAAATCTTGCCTCAACACTATACAAATTTGAGTGTGTCATTTAATTTCTCTGGGCCTCCATTTTCTGGTCTGTAAAATGAGAAGGTTCAACTATGTGACATCCAAGGCCGTCATCTTAGATCGGAGTAGAAGCCCTCTGAGGCCCCTTCCAGCTCTGGGGTTTGTGACTCTATTATCCTAGCCCTCACTGCCTATAACAGGTGCTGGTTCACAATTTCTGAGCATGTCCAATGGAGGCCAGACAAAATCAGGGAGAAAATGGGAAACTCTCAGGCGGAGATGACAGGCAGGAGGGGACAGAGTCAGATTAGTTACTTTTTGTTCCTACTAACAGTTTTGCTGAAAGGCTGGGTGGAGGGAAAGAATTATAATATTGTTAACAGCCAGTCATCTACGTAGTTCCCCTTTCTTACCAAGCCTAACTGGAGATAAACCATGTGCTTATGTGCTTCTAGGACCAATGCTTTAAGAAATACAGCAAGGCACAATGCCTCCGGAGTCAGGGGATCTGGGTTCAACTCTTACCTCTGATGCTTGTATGGTCTTGATGAAATCACTTCATCTTGCTGGGCCTAAGCTTCTCCATATTTAAAATAACTAGACTAGTCCAGTGGGGGTGGCCTACATGGCATCGGAGATCCTACATAGATAAAAATCCATGATCTTATGACCTCTCTGTGCCTCAGTTTTCTCCTCTGTAAAGTGAGAGGATTAGACTAGAAGAGCTCTAAGACCCCTTCCAGCTCTTATCAATGTAGGTGCTACCAATCCCTCTGCACAGATCACAGCTCTCTGTACCTGAAGAGAAAGTTTTATGAGTCTTTTTGGTGGGGAAAAGTTTGCTGGTGGCTCTCCAGCTCCTGCTGGGATGGTCCTTGGATAAGACAGCCTCCTCTAGCTCAGCAGGACCTGGTAGAGCTTGCATTCTGGGCCTTCCAGAGCCCAAGGTCGCCTCCACCCCATAGGAAGGCATCAGAGGAAGACGACTTCATCACTTGGGCTTGGACTGCTTAGGGGGTACCAATGTGCTGCTTTAACACACGATCATCAGCGAAGCAATCAACAATGTATCATGTGCCAGGCCCTGTGCTGCTGTTGTTTAGTTGTTGTTCGGTCGTGTCTGACTCTCTGTGACCCCATTTGGGGTTTTCTTGGCAAAGATACTGCAGTGATTCATCATTTTCTTCTCCAGTTCATTCTACAGAGGCAAATAAGGTGAAATGACTTGCCCAGGGTCACACGGCTAGTAAGTGTCTAAGGCCGGATTTGAACTCAGAAGTCTTTCTGATTCCAATCCTAGAGCTCTATCCACTGCATCACCTAGCCACACTCATGGCCTCGTGCTAGGCACTGGAATAAATTGTTTTTAGCATCGAAGACCTAGAACAGACCACATGAGGCCGTCTGGTCCATCCACTGCTGTTTGAGTGCAGGATCGAATTTATAATGTCCCAGACTAATAAGAAACTTATGTTATTCCCAGAATCATAGAATTTGAGAATTGGGGTGGGGGGAACCTCAGTGGTCACTTGACTTAACCCATTCACCAGCAAAATCCCTACTATAACATATCTGTTAAATGAACCATCAGCCTTCACTTGAAAATCTCCAAAGAGCCAGAATTTACCATCTCTTGAGGCAACAGCTTCTACTATCTCATTGTCTGGGAGTTTTTCCAGATGCTAAGCCCTAAATTGTAACTAACTGTCAACCAGTGCTCCTGGCTCTGTCCTCTGGGGCCAGATGGAACCAGTTTAATTCCTGTCCCTCATCACAGCCCTCAGAATACAGTGCTTTGTCTCCTGAGTCTTCTCTGGGTTAAACATACCCAGGTCTTTTAGCCAATCCTTCCATGACATGGTCCTCAAGGCTCTTCCTTATCCTGGATTCCCTCTTCTGGCCACAGTCCAACTCATCCACTGAAATGCTCTTACTAAATTGTGATGCCCATGACTAATGTGAAAATATTTTTAATAAGAATGTATATGGAGAGCCTCTATTAGATTGCACACCGTCTTGGGGAGGGGGGGAGGGAGGGGAAGAAAACTGGAAACTCAAAAGCTGATGGAGGTGAATGTAGAAAACTAAAAATTAATTAATTAATTAATTAAAATAAGTAAAGAAATAAATTGTGATGACCAGAACTATATAGACATAATACTCCAGAAGAGGAGTATTCCCTGCTTTAAAAAAAACAAAACATTTTCTTTTGTTGGTCCTGAATAAAGATCATCAAACACAAGCATTTCAATGGATAAAGAATAGAGTGTATGAAACTGTGGGCTTCCCTAATTAGATTGTAAGCTCCTTGAAGGCAGAGACTATCTGTTGCTTCTTTTTGCACCCCCAGTGCTTAGCCAATGCCCGGCACATAGTAGGCATTTAATAAATGTTTATTGATTGATGGACTAAATTTCTATCATATATAGTCTGGTATGATTCAGTTTCTGAAAGGGGAGACATTCCTTATGGTCATCTGCTTCCAAGTTTAAGAACTATCGTATTCAGGATTCTCCTCATGAGTTCTACTCGAAGCCTCCTCCGGTATAGCAGAAGCTCATTTTGTCCTAACAGACCCTACTACCTGCTTTACATTGTAAGCTTTACAACAAAAATCAGGGGCCTTCAGTGCTAAGCCAAGGCTTGCAGGTTGGTGGTTGAGGGAATAGGGGGGTGCAGCAGAGAAGGTATGGGGTAGATGCCAAAGAGGAGACAAATTACCTCAAAGGTGACGGGAGGGATGAGTGAACGTCGATGAGTGGATTCAGGACCTTCTCCCAAAAATGCCTTTACCTGGAACCACAAAAAAATATGGGGACTTCAAGTCAATGAGAGGAGAGAGAGAAACAAAGTGTAAGCATCCCAGGCCCGCCTCTAGAGTACAGAAAAGGAAAACTAGAGGGAATATCAGCAGAGTTGATAAGAAAAGGACAAGAGCGTCTTCTTTGCACCTTACCTTATCTTCAAGAGAGGACAGTAAACTGGTCAGCTGGCCAAGCCTGGCTATGATGTTGACTGGATTTGCCTCTGCAGACATCTGGGAAGTCAAAGAGAGGGGACCATCTCATTTGTTCATTTAGTCATTGAATAAATATTTATTGAGCACCTACTATGTTTAAGGAAGGCACTCTATTAGAGGCTGATTGGGCATAAAATGAGTAGGGCCTAGTCTCACCCTCACGAAACTTATGGTCTCGTAGTAAAGATAAGACATGCATACGGCAGCTCTAACACAAGACTGAATATGCTCCATTCCATGAGAAAAGTACAGAAAAAGTTCTCTGGGGGTAGCAGCAGGGTTGGGGAATCGCTTCCACCTTCGAGGTGGGATGGAATCAGGGAAGACATCCTAGAGGAAGTGGCCTTTGAAGGCTCTGCTTGCCATGCCAAGGAAGCACATGAAAAGAAAAAGCAAAAATGCCTATAGATGGTCCGAGCCAACAGCTGGTGTGTTGGTGATTTTGCCGATCTACTCATTTTTCTTATTTTTTGTCCTTTTTCTTATCATTTGGTACAAGCGATGGCTCTGGGAGGACTAGGGAGGGAAGGCTCAATTGGGAAAATTGAGAGCCACAGGCCTGAAGGAACCTGCCCAGGATCACACAGTTCTCGGGTTTGTGACTGGGCTTGCCTGGACCCCTCTTTGATGACTCAAAATCCAGCCTATCTGCCTGATTTCTCGGTTCCTACCTCATTTTCCAGCTGCTCTCCTGTCTCGTCCTGCTGGCCAGGCACACCGGTCCCTTCACTCCTCCCATAATTGGGATGCCCCAGTTAATGACTCCTGTTTCCAGACTATCTCTCCCACTCTGGGTGGCCTTCCTCAGCTTCAAGCTACCCACCTAGTTTGACCTCTGCCTCCCTTTGGCAGGTCTACCAAAAACAACTCGGATTAACCCACATGCCCCTGAGGCTAGCTTTGGCCATGGACACCCAAGATCAATGACCACCAAAAGCACTTGATGCTCCTGCCACATCTTTTGGGGAGGCGGGTGTCAGGTCAGAGCTCAGGGAGGACAAAGAACTCTGCCTTCGGGACCTCAGGACATCAGTAATCAAGGTAAGTCACATTCCTATAACCCCTGTAAGTACTTCACTGGAAAGAACCTTGCAGCATGCAAATAGCATTACCTCTAGTTTTCAGTCAAGGAAACTGAGGCACAGAGATGGGAAATGACTTCCCCAGAGTCACAAAGCTAAGAAGAGGCCTCTCTGGGATTCAAACCCACATCCTCTGACTCCAAGCTTGGGGTCAATCTAGAGTTCTGGAAGTATCCACTCTCTTCTCCTCATCGGAGCTCCTTTGGATAAGCGGCCCCCAAGTGCTGGCTGATGAAGGCCAAAGGTCATTCCCCCAGAAGGGCCCCTGTGCCTTGGGTGTCCCTGACACCAGGTCAGCCAGGGAGCTTTGAATGGTTCCAGCCTCCACCTTCTCCAAACCGTCTTCCACGCCAGCGAGCGGCCAAATGAGTATTCCTAAAGCGCCTTTGACGAAGCTATTCCTCTGCTCCCGAAGCTTCCGTAGCTCCCCAAAGCCTCAAAGATAAGCTCCAAGCTCCTTGTCTGGCACTGAAGGCTCTCATGATTCGGCTCCAGCCTTTCTTTTCCAGGATGGTGACATACTCCTGTCCCTTATTCTATATTTGGCCCAGATGGCTGCTTGCCCTTCCCCCACACCATATCCACTTCCCACCTGGTGCCTGAACTTTCCTCTGCTCCCACCTGCCCTTCTGGGACTCCTTAGCTTATTTCCAATTGAGGCTTAGATGCCACCTACACAAGGCCTTGCTGGATGCCCTGAGTCGTTAGTGTCCCCATTTGAATAAATGAATGAATGGAGGATATAGCATCCATTAAACCCTGACTCCAGACCAGGCGCCAGGTTGAGTGCTGGGCATAGAAGTACAGAGAGACAAGGTGGCCTTTGTCCTCAAGCAGCTAACCTTCTAATGAGGGAAGACAACACCAAAAGAGGAGCTCCAGGGGTTGGGGTGAAGGTGACGGGGCTTTGGAAATGGTGGCTGGAGGGCTGGTTCTGGGTAAGGGAAGGTCAGGGCCTGGGGACGAGTTCAAATCCCGCTTCTGATCATTACTATCTGGGTGATTTAGAGTGAGACACTTATCTTCCCTGGGCCTTAGCAGCTCCTCTGTAAAATGGGGAGGGGTGGATTTGATGGTCTTTGAGGCCCCTTCTAACCCTAGAGCAGCAGAGGTGGCACAGTGGGGAGAGTGTAGGGCCTGGAGTCAGGAATACCTGAGTTCAAATGCAGCCTCAAACACTAGTTGTATGACCCCGGGCAAGTCACTTCGCCCTGTTTGCCTCAGTTTCCTCGTCTGTAAAATTAGCTGGAGAGGGAAGGGGCAAACCACTCCAGTATCTTTGCCAAACAAAGAAAAAAAACTCACATGGGGTCACGAAGAGTTGGACGTGACTGAACAATAAATCAGCTGTAGTTTTATAATCTTACGATTATAGGTCATTCGACCTCTCTGGTCTCAGTTTCCTCATCTGTAAAGTGGGGGGAGGGGGCTGGACTAGACGGTCTTTGAGGCCCCTTCCAGCTCCAGATCCAGGGTCCTATGACCCTGGCTGGGGGTGGGGCCAAGGTGAGAGCGAAGGTCACAGGGGGCACTTTGCAGGAGGTGGTGCGGGGAGCATGCTCTGGCTCCCCCTTCTTCCTCCTCACCCCGGGCACCAGTAGGTGGGCAAAGCTCCAGACATCTCTTACCATTCCGTCTCTGAGAGGAAGAGACTCTCCCAAGGTCACACGAAGGATATGGACTGCAACATGCAGCTCCTGGGTCCCAGGCCTGGTCTCTCCTTCAGTGCAGCCACGGAGATGTTTTGCTGCCTTGTGGCATGCTCTGCTGTTCAGACAGCCCACGCAGCTTTCTCCTCCCTTGCCCAGCCCCTCCCCTCCTCCCCACCTTTTCTGAGGCCACCCAGAGAATCTTCACCGGTCCCTTCCTTACCTGAGGCCGAGGCCAGATGCCCGGGGACAGCTGCTGGTCAAATAACCTCTGCATGGACTCCAGCGATGGGAGGGTCCTGGCAACCTCACTGGAGGGAAGAAAACCCAGTGAAAGTGAATGTTAGCCTGGGAAGCCAAGCCAGGAGTCCCAAGAGGAACACAGACACACAGAGCAAGGCAAAAGCTTTTTTCTCCAAGCCCGTGCATCCTCTAGGGCAGAGCTGGCAGCTGGCAGGTTTCAGCAGCTCTGCCCAACCCCCTCCACGATACCGGCCTCTCTTTCCCCCACTGCATCCGCTCCACCCAGTTGCTTTTGGACTTGTCATATTATGGAAACCATTACAGCCATGAGACCATAAGATCAGCAGGGGGAAAAGAATCTCAGGGAGCACCTTGTCCAAGCCCTTCATTTTGTAGATGAGAAAACTGAGGGCCAGAAAGAAGTGACTTACCCAAAGTCACACTGGCTTCAGTTCAATAATTCAATTCCATCTAATTCAACAATAATTTAATTGAGGGTACTGCAGGCTCCTTCTCTCTCCCAACTGAATACAACCAGGGACTGTCTCATTTTTGCCTTTGTAGTTCCGGGGTGTGGCTAGCGTAGCAGACGTTCATTAGCAGCTTGACCTTTGCAGCTCGTCTGATAGCTCTAGAGTCAGAGATGAGTCAGGGAAAGGCCCTGAGGCCATCTAATCCTGCTCCCCGTTTTCCAACTAGGGAACCTGGGGACCAGATTGCTTACTAGGTGAAAGGCTAGGCTCTGGGAATACAAACGCAAAAAATCAAAACAATTCCTGACCTCAAGAAGCTTACATTCTAGCGGGGACACAATTTGTAAACAGATAAATAAATGCAAGATAATCTGAGGAGGTCGAGAACACTAGTGACTCAGGGGATCAGGGAAGGCTTCCTTAGGAGGTGGCATATGAGCAGAGCCTTGAAGGAAGCTTGGGATCCTATGATGCTCAGGAAGTGCATCACAGGAGCGTGGGGAAAGAGCAGTTCAGCAAAAGTGACCAGAGCCATGCAATTCTTTTCTTTTTTGTTCCTTTTTTGAGGCAATCAGGGTTAAGTGACGTGCTCAGAGTCACATAGCTAATAAGTGTCTGAGGCTGGATTTGAACTCAGGTCCTCCTGCCTCCAGTGCTGGTGCTCTATTTACTGTGCCACACAGCTGGAGGTGACAGCCGTTGGTACCAAGTATTAGCACTGGAAGGGACCTTCCCTGAGAGCACCTAACCTAAAGCTCTCATTTTACAAACGAGAAAGCAGATGTCCAGACAGGTTGAGCGATTTGCTCAATGTCACCCAGCCAGTCAATGGCACTGGACCGGACGGGACTGCAGACCTCTTTACTCTCAGCACAGGCTCGCCTCCCTGTGGCCTGCCGCCATGGCTCTGATCAGAGCTGCCACTGACAATCTTGGCTCTCAGCCCGAGCCTCAGAAAACGCCTGAGGGCAAACAGCAGGAGAGAAGCCCTCAAAGCAAGTTTTGGAGATCAATTTTGAGATAAATTCAACTGAGGGGCTAGGGAGTGACCTCGAGGAAGTCATTGGGCTCATTGGGCTTTGTCCTATTGAGGAAGACAGTCAAGGCACCCGTCCTGCTGAGCAGCCCCCTAGGACACCCGGAGACTGGTGCTGAGAGCCTGCCACTGAGGAAGAAAGTCGAATGCGGAAGAGCTAATCTGGGGTACGGCTGCTCCGGGAAGAAGAAAAGCCTTACCGTGTTATTGCTTCCCATTGTAACTAACTATTTTTGTTATTTAGCGCCAAGCTCAGTAGTACGTTTCTGCCGAAGGAGCATAAGCACTGTCAATACCAGTAGCTTCTAAATTCCAACACCCTAGGCAAAGACCCATTGTCCTAGTTACATCTCTGTTTCAGATTACTATTAGGCCTCAATTGGTCATTTAAAAGGCTCTGGAAAACTAATTGAGAATTCTACCTAATTCCTCTATTCAGTCAGGAGGAGACCTGAAAGTCGAGAGATCAATGGTTACTTCACATTCCAGCCACCAATAATTCTCGATTTTTGAGCAGCGATGGAGACTTGGCAACAACTGGGGAGGGTAGTTATCTGCTTGGGGATCAATGATTGGCTATGAAAGCACTCACACGGGGCTCCCTTCAAAGCTTGTATGGAAAGCTGAGCAAGCCCTCTCTACCATCCCTGCCTTCACCCATCCCACTAACAGATTTTAACGTTATAAATGTCTCTCCTGCCCTAGGCTTTATGCCGCTAGGGACATGGGCATTGCCAAACTGAAAAGCATTGGCTGGTCCCAGGCTGACGCTCTGCCAGGAGATGGGACTGCTGCTTTCCATCTGGATACTCATCCTGCCCACAGCCAGCTGGAGAGTGCCAGGGCCACGGAATTCTGGCCCAGAGGCAAGAGAATTCAGCCTGCTTTAGCTATCAGCTGTGTGGAATCTCTGAATGGAAAGGAACCTCAAAGATCATCCATTCTGAGCAGTACCTCCTCTCCTACAGCCCTAAGGCAAGGCCAGGCAGCCTCCACTCCAAGAAATCCAGTGCTGGGGAACTCGTGACTTTCCAAGACAACAATGTAGCCAGGGAAGGGTTTTGGTTTTTTTTCCCCTTTCCTAGGAGGAAATTACTTCTTGCGCATGAAGCCTCAGGGGCTTCCAATCACTTCTAGGATAAACTACAACCTTTGCTATTTGGCTTTTAAAGTGCTTCCCGAGCAGGCTCCATCCTCCCTTTCTAGATTGATCACACATTATTCTCTCTCATGGGATCTATGTTCCAATAGGCTTACTTCCTGCTCCCTGAACTCTCCTTCTCCCAGCTCCATGCCTTTGCATGGGCTGCCCTTCGAGTGCCGCCTGGAGGGCAGAGGCTCTCTTGATTTGGGGTTGGCAGCCCTAACCTCTACCTGGCACATGGTGGGCACTACGGCCACTCCTGTTGATTGACTGGTTGGCGGCTCCTTCCACTTTTGTCAGCTCTAACCATTAACAAGCTTGCCTCTCCCCTCAGCTGAAATCTGCTGTTTTTGCAGTGTTCAGTCAGCACTACCCGTTCTGCCCTCTGGGCCTCAACAGAACACAGCTAATTCCTTTTCTGGGTTTACTTGAGGACAGCTCCTGTGTCTCAGCCTGGTAGTTTGTTGGCTTCTCCCTCCTTTCTTCCAGCTGATTGGTGGATCGTGTGCTTTGGGGGTCCCTTGGGAGCTTGACAGCAGGACCTGCTCCAGTCTGTCAGGATGTAACAGAATCTAACATTCTAGGGGTGATTTACCAGGACGGACTATGGGAGAACCATAGCTTCCCTAACTCAATTCAATAAGCATTTTGTGCCAGGCACTGTGCAAGGTGCTGGGGATGGACAAACCAAAACAGTTCCTGCCTTTAGAAGGCTGATATTCTATTAGAAGAAAACCACATCTGCACGGAGTAAGGCTGACGACTTCATGCAGCTCTGCCTCACTTAAATCTAACTCGTGAGCAAGTCACCACCCTTGTGACGTCATTGGCTCTCTTGGAGAACAAAGAATGAACAAGAAGAAGAAGAACACATATTCCATGTGATTTTGAGGATGGAGCAGAGTATGGGGGGATCAGGAAGGGTACCACATAGGAGCTGGCACACAAACTGAGCCTCGAAGGAAGCTAGGGAGTTCTATGAGGCAGAGCATTCTCAGAATGATGGAAGCCTGTGTAAAGGCATGGAGAAAGAAGGAGGGAAACACCTACTGTGTGCCAGGCATTGTGCTAAATGCTTTATGAATATCTCACTTGATCCTCACAACTCTGGGAGGGGATGCTGTTATTATTCCCATTTGACAACTGAGGAAACTGAGGTAGACAGTGGTTACGTAACTTGCCCAGGGTCACTAGAAGGTGGAGTGTCAGATATGGAGAACAAGTGGACCACTTTATCTGGACACATAGCATGCACAAGGTTAAGGAATGGGAAATCAATCTAGAAAGATGCATCAGAATCAGACTATGAAGAGCTTTCAATGCCAATAAGATACTTTTTTGTAGTGACAATAGGGATCCACTGGACTTTAGTGAGTGAGGAAGGGAAGCCCCATGCCTTTGGAATATCCCTTTGGCAGCCGTGAGGAAGCCAGACTAGAGAGGCACGGAGCCCAAAGAGGAGGCTCCTGGCAAAATCCGTGCAAGAGTTGATAAAGACCTGAACGAGGGTGCTGGAGTAGAAATTAGGAGTCGGATACGAGAGATGTGGATCCAACGCAGGATAGTTCTGGGCATTACATTTCTGTTCATTTAGGTAGGTGGACTTAGAGTCAGGAAGACCTGAGTTCAAATCCATCCAGACAGTTAATTACCTTGTGACCCCTAGGCAAGTCATTTCACTACTGTCTGCCTTAGTTTCCTCATCTGTGAAATGGGAATAATAATAACAGCACCTCCCCAGAGTAATAATACCACCTCCAGAGTAAAGCACTTAGCAAACCCTAAAGCACCACAGAAATGCTACTTAGCATCATGATGATGATGATGAAGATGAAGATGATGATGATGATGATGCTGTCCTTCTGTGGCTGCTGTATCATACTGCTAGCTCATATTAAATTTGCAGTCCTTTAAAACCTCCATGTATTTTTCACATGGACTGTTGTCTGGCCCACACCTGGGCAATTGATTTTTTGAGCCCAAGTTCACTGCTTTACATTTATCCTCATTAAGTTTCATTGTATTAGACTTGGCTCATTTTCCTAGTCTGTCAAGAGTTTGTTGGCTCCCAATTTCTTTATCCAACGTACTATTCTTCCTAATTTCATTTAACCCACAAACTTGCTAAGCCCGATACATATTCATTCGAGTCACTGATAAAAAAACTAATCTGAACTTCAGACTATAGTGGAAGTGTGTCTAGGACCATCCACTACAGAACTCCCTTTGAGCTTCCTCATTCTCTAGATCCAGTGTGTTAGCCAGGCCCAAGTATCCCTAATTTTGCTCGTTTAGCTTGCACCTCACCCTGGTCAGGAGAGGATGAGAGATGTCAGGTCTATGACTGAAATCCGGGGGTAGTATCTATCTGGGAGGCATTCGTTGGGTCAATCAGATTTATAATCTGTCAGAAAA